ACTGCAACTCCCTCCTCACTGGTCTTCCATTACACAGGCTATCCCCCCTTCAGTCTATTATGAATGCTGCTGCTAGACTCATACACCTTACCAACCGATCAGAGACTGCTGCCCCTCTTTGCCAATCCCTTCATTGGCTTCCACTAAGCCAACATATAAAATTCAAAATACTAACCACACCTTACAAAGCCATCCACAACACTGCCCCTAGCTACATCGCCAACCTCATCTGCAGATACTGCCCAAATCGCCCACTCCACTCCTCCCAAGATATCTTCCTCTCCAGCTCCCTCATCACCTCCTCTCATGCTCGCCTCCAGGACTTCTCCAGAGCCTCCCCATCCTCTGGAACTCCCTACCACAGTATGTCCGGTCAGCCCCCACCTTGTCTGCCTTTAAGCAATCTTTGAAAACTCACTTATTCAGGGAAGCCTACCCCACCTCCACCTAAGAACTGTACTTGAATGACCTCCACCAGATCATCCCCTGCAGCTATAACCTTTTGTATCACCTCCCCCTTCCTTTAGATTGTAAGCTCCATGAGCAGGGCCCTCATATTCCTTCTGTACTGAAATGTTATGTAATTGTACTGTCTCCCTTATATTGTAAAGTGCTGCGTATAAATCCTGTATAATAATAATAATAATAATAATTGACCATTATCCAGGTCAACTTAGCCTTCAGAAGATCAAGGGAGACCAAAGGGGATCGCCAAGAGTGTGCAATAGATATCCTGGCAGCAGTAAATATAAATGAGATCAGGCATTTCACATATCTGGGTACCCCCTCCACTTCCCCAGGAGAGTCTGGAGCGTTGATTTGGTAAGATGGACCTGAGTCAGTGAGTACATAAAGTTATATGTGCAAATCCAAAATTGCTTGACTTTGCTACTGGTCCACCATATATGGAAAACTGTGCCCTCCTGTCTGCAACCGCGAAAACAGCTCCCTGAACAAAGGAAGCCAAGCGGAGGGGCACCAGATACCATCATATGAAGACCTTATAATTAGCTTCAATCAATGAAGTAATGATTACATTTTTAGAGTTATACCAGCGAAGGTATTTTTCGGCCTTCATGGTTAAGCTAAGATTAAGAGATGTCCATGCTACATCTATTTTATGTCTAATATCTATATGCGGGTTTTTGTTGAGTTTTTTGAGTTCCCGAAGGTCTTTATCCAGTTGGTGTATAAGCCGATCCCTGTCCCGTTTCGCCCTAGAAGCTATTTGAATAAGTTTACCCCCGAATTGTCGCCTTATGAGCAGCCCATGTAATAGTGGGGGATTTGTCTGCTGGGGTATTCTCAGTAAAAAACTGACGAATGGTATTTTCTACTGCCATGTAAACTGAGGGGTCATTAAGTAAAGAGGCATTGAGACGCCAGGTAAGCGGGCGTGCCTTCATCCAGAGATCTGCTATAGTCATCTGGACCGAAGAGTGATCTGACCATGATACTGTCTGTATCTTAGCCGAGCTAACAAAAGGGAGTAAGAAGGAGAGAGGACAAATAGGTGGTCAATACGTGAGTATGTTTTATGGACATGCGAGTAATAGGTGTAGTCTCTCATCATAGGATGACTGTCTCTCTAGACATAAAGAAGGTCATATGTGTTAAGTAATTGTGCTAGCTTGTTGCTCTGTTTTGGAGAATGCTTCAAGGTAGGCTTGAGGGCATTAGAATTGTCTACAATGTGGTCCAATGAGGTATTACTATCACCTCCAAAGATGATAATGTCCGCTGCATGTGGCATCAGAACCTCCAACATATCTCTGAAAAAAGACATTTGAGGCATAATATGATATAAATGTGACTACATGTTCATTAATTTTCCCAGTTGTTAAAATATATCTTATTTCTTTATCCCGGATGACCACATTAGGGGTGAAGGGCACACGTTTGGCAAAGCAGATTGCCTCTCTTTTTATCTGGACCATTTAATAGGCAATATGAGGGGTACTTAGCATTCAGATAATTGGGGTGTGATTTCCAGGAAAAATGAGTTTCCTGCAGCAGAAGAACATCTATCCCTAGTTTATGGTGCTGTTGAAATGCCAGAGTGCGTTTGTTAGGGGAATTAAACCCTTGCACATTGTGTGTGAGTATTTTAAAATCCATCTGGGCTATTTTAGTCATAATGGTTTGGCAGTTTGCACTCGCCTGTTACAGTCTCTTCAACCTTTGCCATGGACCACCTCGCAGACCCCCAAATCACCACGTCCTTGTAGAAAAGAAGAAACTGAAAGAGAAAATGAAAATAGGCCAAGAAAAAGAGAGAATGGAAAAAATGGAAAAAAAGATCATGAAAAATAGCAAAAATTTTGCTCCATCTCCTGCCGTTAAGCAGGCCACAGAGCATCCTCAAGTTGTACTTTTATAATGCAAAAGCCAGAGGCTGGTTGTGGAGACCAGCACCCCTAGATCAAGTGTGAAGCTGCCTTCAGCAAACGGCTAACCGTAAGTTCGCAATAAGTGGCATGTGGTTCCGCCCTTACACATCATAACTTTCAACATATTAAGAGCTACCCACAGGGAGAGGCTAAATATGCCCACCCAGGCTTCAAGCCATCAAAAACATACTTTGTCCAAACTTATCTATCCCAATAAGAACATTCCTCACTCATGAATCCGTGAGATCCTTTAAGCAACTGTGATAATAACCATTACAAGAACTGTAAATCCTTTACTATAAGGAGGGCCCATCCCCTCCACCACCACCCGAACCTGTATACTAGAGGCGAGTGCACCCTGAACCTCGGCTAGTGATATCCTCAACTACAATTCCACCTATGGTGGCTGACATAGTATGGCAGTCCCCTCCACAGTACTCAGGGAGGTAGCCAAGTCTTTTTATTGGTCGATCTTGGGGGCTGTGATCATAAAGGAGAGACCGGTCTGGTGGAAGATGTAAGTAATCTGTCAGGGGGAGAGTTCTACAAGATCAATCCCAGATCCATAAGGATCCCCTCTACTTCTTGGAGGCTAAAAAAGGAGTTTGGTTTTCCCTTGTATGTAAAGCAAAGCAGGCGATTCATAAGCTGGGACAACAGCGGTTTCAGAGTGCCTCTTCTGGATGGTTTGTGGGGAGATGTCATTGAAGAGTTGAATCTGGTGTCCTTGTAGGAGGAGATCCTGTCCGACATCATTATTGTTTCTTTGATTCTGTAAAAATGCGGTTTAACGATGATGTCCCTGGGTAAACCATTGGGTCTTGGAGCCATTAGGGCCCTGTGAAAATGATCCAATTCCAGCAGATGTGTCGAGATATCTGGGATCAGGTCCTGCATCAGGGTGTGTATCGCTAGTTCTATATCCACTATCGATTCTGGAAGCCCACTGATCCTGAAGTTATAGCATTGGGATCTATTTTCAAGGTCTTTAATCTTAGCCTGAGCCTGATCCAGTTGATCCTGCAAAGTTGTGATCAAATTAGAGTTCTGATTAATCTTTTTAATCGTGCCATCCATTTTGGATTCGATAGAGTCCAGCCTATCCCCTATACCTTGGAAGTCTCTTTTAATGTGTGTGGTTATAATGGTGCATGCTTTAGATAATTCTTGCTGTAATAATGTGAAAAATCTTGCTATTAGAACTGCATCCCCCAAGTATGGGACCGGTTGTGCCAAAGGAGGTTGTTCAGTGGAGCTAGTCTGGCTCAGTATAATGTCTGGTAATTCTGCCATATTTCTGTCCATAGAGGATGCTGGGGAAGCTGAGCTCCCCATGTCTCCCTCAAGAGACTGGAGACACCGAGAGAATTGATGTCCACCCACCTGAAGCGACTGCTGGAGCTGGGAATCCTCCTGGGATTGTGAGGAGAAGGGATCTCCCATTAGCTTGGCTGGAGATGGAGGAGACGCAAGCTGTTTCCACCTGGAGGTCTGACCGCTGCCTCGTGGTGTCCCCTTCTGCATCAGCACCATCTTGGCAAGAGGGGCCTGTTGTGGGAGAGAAGGCTGGAGAACTGATCGGGGCAGCTGAGAGGTCTGGGCTGGCTTCCTCCTTGTTGCATCCATTGTCCGCCAGTGCATTGTAGTCTCCCCCACATGGGAATGCCGTCGCTGATGTCTCTCCTCCGCTCCTCTCTCCTATTTCTTGCTCAGATGGCCAAGAGCATGCGGAGCGTGGTCAGTGCATGACTTGTCTCAGCGCCGCGCATATGCGCACTTTCCCATGCCCTTTTTTGCCAATAGCCCCCCCAGCTCCCCCTGTAGACTTCTGGTTTCATGGATTTGAAGGATTTATCCACTCTTCATGAATCAAACCCAGGCAGATTCACTCATCTTAGGGATGACCTCAAATCTCATACCTACTCCTTAGTGTGTGCAGAAGATGAGATCTACAGTATACGTTTTACAGAAGTAGTGCAGTGGTCTTGGAGTATGACATGTTCACATCACCAAAACAAACCACATTCACAATTAAAACTGCATGTGCAGAGTATAATGTCTTGGAAGGGAATTAGAACATTTTATGTAGCTAGACAAGTGGCAAAATCACTGTACGCCTACAGGAAACCTATTATGAGAGTTGACATTGAGTTGTAGGCTGAGATTGCTGACCTATTCTGAAAATGCTAGTTGCTTGACTCCAATAAATGAATAAATAAACGATAAATTCAAGTTAAAATTGTTAATAATGTGTGCAAAATCTGATATTAAAGTGCTATTTGTGCAATCTGTGCAAAATGTGGAGATAAAAAGTCCATGATAATCATATGCTTTCAAAGGGTATAAGTAAACGGGAAATTCAACAGGAATCTTTCTTCAAACAATAAAATCCTGTGCCAAAAGTGCAATGGTGCATGTATCTTTAAAAATCATCCACCACTTAGGCGGCACTGACTGGCACTGATAGGCGGCACTGACTGGTACTGTTAGGCGGCACTGACTGGCACTGATAGGCGGCACTGACACGGCACTGATAGGCGGCACTGATGTGCACTGATAGGTGGCACTGACTGGCACTGATAAGCAGCACTGACTGGCACTGATAGGTGGCACTGATTGGCAGCACTGATAGGTGGCACTAATTGGCATTGATAGGTGGCACTGATGGGTGACACTGAAAGGCAGCTCAGATGGGCACTGATATGTGGCATTGATGTGCACTGGTAGGCACTGATATGTGGCATTGATGTGGCACTGATGGGCACTGGCACGAGGCACTGATGAGCACTGACAGCTGGCACTGATGGACTTTGACAGGTGGCACTGCTGGGGCTACACTGATCATCAGGGCACACTAATCATCAGTGTCCTGATGATCAGTGTAGATGTCCCCTCCGCGAAAAGCCGATTACCGGCTCTCCTTTCCTCTCGAGCTGTCAGCGTGACAGCTCGAGAGGAGAGAAATGCCGATAACCGACATTTCCCTGTTTACATGTGATCAGTTGTGATTGGACACAGCTGATCACATGACCGAGCTGTTGATCGCTGTGCTGCACGCTCCCTGAGCCGTGCATGCGTGGTGAGAATGGGAGGACGTCATATGACATCCTCCCAGAATAAGAGAACCACCTTGCTCCCGTCATTGGACTATATGGCGGGCGGGAGGTGGTTATATCAAGTCTGGCTTCAGATGGACAGTTAATGGAAAGGAGTATAGGAAGGACTGTATGGTGGTTAAGACAGAGGAACTCCACGACTGTCTGACTTCTCGGCTCCTGGGAATGCGGTGGATGGTGTACAGTGGCTTGGGGATTCCATTGACTTTGGCACTTTCAATAGAACAAATGTCTTCACTCATCTTATCCGTTTCAGCAAGTACATAGTGAATTGATGAATATGATGTGGACAAACTGCTTGGTAGTCTCAGGATTTCAGTTGTGTGGCCACCGCCAACATAAACTTGTCTCACAACAGGGTTTATAGTCCCTTCCTACTCCAGGGGTCCAGAAATTGTCAGAAAAGCTCAGCAGACAAACAGGTCCCTCACCACTGTGTCCTGTTCCACACAACACCTGTGCATTGGCTCATTGTGGTGCTGTTTATTTTGGCTCCAAAATGCAGCTCCAACATACTACCATTCATTGTGCTGTATTGGCAAAAAATGGTGCAAGTCCATTTTTTGAGACCTTTTGGTGCATTACTAGCTCATTCATTTGAATTGGCCGCCTTGAGCGCAGCACACACTAATGTCATTATTTAGTGTGTTTTTTAAATGTTTCTAATCATTTTATTATTATTTTTTATTTAATGACAGGGACTGTGCAATTAAATGTGATTAAACTGTTGGTAAAAATCAAATGTGAAAAACACAAAGTAGCAGATTGTGATGTAAATCCACCTGCAGGTTCCTGTAGCCCTACCAGATATTTTTTTGCAGTGTACAGTGAAATTAACAGGGTTCCAGTACAAATAATAAAGCAACTTTCCATTTTGAACAAAGAAATCAGAATTCAGAACTCACAAGACAACTGGCTATAGCTTTTCATAAATATGGCTCTGCATCTAAATGGCACAACTAGATGCTGCAAGAGGAGAGACACGTCAATATAATATTCACAACATGATCACATCTGCCTGTTCCCTTTGCTGTTGTAGATGCTGCATCAGTTGTCTGAATTTTCAGTCGATGTATTGAAACTATTTGGTAACTAAATTTAAACACTGCTGGCCAGTGCGGCTTTAGAGTGCAGATATTTGGATCATTTTAAACATAAGCTTCAGCTCATACTGGCCTTTTTTAATCTATGTACTATTCGGTGATGGTTCTGCAGAATGATCTGTAAATTAGCCCCACAGAGACTTACTGTACGATTTGTACAAGCCAACTGACTGTCAATGAGCTGCTAATGTGGAAAAAAATGTTTTTGCAGCTTTTCAGTCTGTACAGAATATGTTTTATGTGCCTTGCATAGCGTTACGAGGAAAATGGACCTCCAAACCGTAAACACTTAATAATTTGCATTTTTATAATGGCCAGATAAATGATTTTCATTATTTGCTATTGGTAGGTCATAACCCTCTCAATGAACCTTTCAGAAAAGGCGCAGTGTAGATTGTCACTTTTAAAATCATATAGTCTTCTGACTACTTTACATTGATTTGTCAAAGCTTGTGGGATGCATACTTAAACGTTTAAATAGGGTCAAAGGAGCATCAATTTTCTCCTTACTGACTCATACCCAAAGCAATTGCTCTTTAACAGATATCTATTTAGATTTAGATCTTCCCAATTAGACAGATGGTGTATATTCTCGGCACTTAACTCAATGCCTAAGGTTTCATTATTACAACTGATTTTGGGGCACGAGGAGAGTATATGTTTTAAAAGAAAAAATCAATGCTAAAAGAAAAAATATTAAAAGAAACCCAGAGATACTTAAAGGAGAAAAAATCATATTGATTTGCTGAGTTTATAGACAAACTGTTTGCTTTATTGTATTTTAGACACAAGCATATGGTCTCTCATTAATAGATAGTCCTGGGAAAATAGGATTTAACCTTCTGTACATGCAGGTGGTAGAAAAAAAGAAGCATTGATAAATGAGTGGCAAAAAAAATCATTAAACCATCAACATTACTTACAATGGAGTTTAGCATTTACTGATAGAAATAACTCACACTCAATGAATTAGCTGCATTCCCCTTTTAAGTTTTTACAACTTAGGGAGTGTTTATAAAACTTACGCATTTGCCCAAAGAAAGTGCAGGTACATTCACTCTATGCAAATAGGGCCAAAAAACTAATGTTATTAGGCTATTTCCTATGTTGGCTGAATGTTTTGTATTGCTTTAAAATGGAAAATACTTCATTTGGCCTGCCTCTAGATGGAGCTAGGTATCATAGGAAATTACTAAAATACTAAGCAACATCTAGTGGCAATATGCCTTATTTTCCATTTTAAATTGATGAAAAACATTCAATCAGCAGAGGAACCACCTAGTAACATTTTTTGGCCCATTAGCATAGAACAATCTGATAGAGATTAGATGAGAGGGCTCCTCTTGCACTTCTAATTCTACATTCTTGAAGGTGTCAGTGCATGATGGCACAGAGTAGCATGAGTGCTGGAGTTACAAGCAGCACTAGATATGTGTTGCTGTCAGACGGATGGAACAGTGGACTGAGGTTCAGTGAGCAGGATCCCTGTGCCGGAATACTGTGGTACCTGAGTAGGCTACAGGAACTAGGCTGCAGTGCACCAGTTTATGTAGGCCTCTGGATGCTAATACCAGTGCGGAGTGGGCACGCTATTTCTTGGGCATACTAATCCTTATACTGAAGTGAATTTGTCCATTCCTACATCATATGATCTTCTCATAGTTATTATAGTGATCTGACACACATGTTGATGTACTGACATCCCTACTATTAGAACACACATCACAAATAACACTACCCATTGGACTTTCAAGGTGCATAACCATTTATATAGTAACCACATTTCTTTCAAATCCACTCATATTTTATTAGTACAAAAAGATGTATTTAAAAATATATCACTGGAAAAATAAAGAATGAACAGCTGATTTAACCTCCCTAGAGGTCTGATTATGTCCATATTTCTGTGCTCAAAGCGATAAATTTTTTTGCATGGAAATATGTATTTTGTTTATTGTAGGCCTGTAATTTTTAGGAATAACTCACTGGAATCTGTCCGAACAAGAGTCTAGTAAACATCCCGGGTATGTTAAAATTTGAAACACGAAATCATAAATTATAATTTAATAAATAATCATTAAAAATAATAATATATTAATAAATGTAATTAAATAATATGATCAAACCAAAAACTCTGAAATTTGAAATATAGCGCCAAGTTTGCACGTCACTGAGCAAAGTCGCAAAATAGTTTTCAGCGTCTGATGACGAATTTCCCCACGAATCATTATCACTCAATTCTGCAAGTGATTCTAATTTACTATCACTGTTCTTTAGCTGGTCTAAAACCGCTTTTGACTTAAAGGGACGCTTTTTGGACGCCATTGACTTTTTTCAGTTTCCAGGCAGAAAGAACAGTAAATATGCAGGCAGGGCACAGGACAAAGCACTAGGGACAAAATGTATGTGAAATGGTTTGATACAGTAATGTTTTACTATGTGATTTTAGTGAATTTAGTGAATGTCATTTTTACAACTTTCAAATTTCCCGCCAGTTCCGTCCCCGTACGTACCGATGTCGCAGGGAACGGAACCCAGAAGACAGATGCCGGCATCCGCCAGAAGATATTGCAGAGGACACTGCAGGAGGGACATCACGGGAGTAAAGGACAAGGTGAGTGAAGAAGGGATCCCGGAGCAACGCTGTAGGGTATTCCTGAGTGTAGCTCAGGGTTACTGCTTTTGGTGCTGAAACTTTACCCCGAGCTACACTCGGGAATACCACCAGGGAAGTTAATACAATTTGTAGTGCTTTACATTGACAACATGCTGTCTAAGTTTGTAACATTATTATTATTATTATACAGGATTTATACAGTGCCAACAGTTTGCTCAGCACTTTACAATATAATGGGAGACAATGCAGCAACGATACAGTTCAATACAAGAGGGTTAGGAGGGCCTCTCCTTGGAGCTTACAATCTAAGAGGGAGGGGCTGGTGGTACAAAAGTAACATAAGTAATAACTGTGGGGGATGAACTGATAGGAGGAATAGAAGATTCCGTTATTAGCTGAAGGCAGGATAGGCTTGCCTGAAGAGATAAGTTTTCAGAGATCATCTAAAAGTGGATAGAGTAGGCGATAGTCAGATAGATTAGGGTAGAGTTCCAGAGGATGGGGGAGGCTCTGGAGAAGTCCCTAACATGTCCATAAATTCAAGCCACAGCTAGTGTACTAAAGAAGTAAATGAGTTTGAAAGCAAATGATTCCCTATATTGTAGTTTGAAAATATCAATAGGTGCAAAAGAAAACCTACTTTTATCTTATCATGTTATAGACAATAAACGGTACAGAAGAAAATGCATATACTGGATTTGGGATTAGTAAAAAGGCATTGCAATGACAAAATGCAAAGTATAGAAATTCACTTTTCATTTCATTGTGGGTTGCTGCCTTTGGATTTCAATTCTAGTTAGAAAAAAAACTATGGAAAGATAATTCTTCATAATCTAAAAAATATTAAAAAATGCAGTTTAGACTCCTATATTCACCCCATCTCTAGTGCTGTCCCCCACACACTCACCCCTTGGGTGCCCTCACAAGAGTATTTGCAGAGAGTGGCCCTATGTCATCACATTGTACTTGTTACACTGGGCTCTAAATCTAGTCTAGCAGGTCTGTAAAAATACATGTCCACAGGGACATTTGTTTTCTCATCTCCTTGCTTGAGTGGCTTCTGTAGGGAGAAGAAAGCTGGACAAAGCTGTGATTGGCTAGCAGTGGGACCAAGGGATAGTACCCACCCCTAGCCAGGATGGTTCTGATTGACTAGACTGTCAGGAGGTTAAGTCCCACCCATGGGGTTGAAAAGGAGAGTTTCCTGGGCTTTACATGGT